ATAGGAGGAAAGGCTATGTGAGCATGAAGTCCACCTGAAGGAAATTTGTACAAAGGGAAATCTGCACAGAGGGGTGAAAAGAGGCACATCCTGACATACTAAGTGCCCAGATCCAGCCATGCCTGAAGCCATCTCACTCCTGGACTTTCCAGATATTATGGACGATATATTCCCATTAGGCGCTTTTTTTTGCCACTCAATCACAGCAAGAGTCCTAACTCACATGTGTTCAGAGGATTGGGGATTGAGACATATATTGATAGCTGATGGTAGTATAATTCCATTAATAATATTCTCGAACATTTTGAGATAAAATGATGAATGTACTCCTTTAGCTGCAAAAACTTCACTCTTTCCTCCTCACCCCATTTCTGTGGCCCCTTCCAAAGAGGATATCTCCCATTAGCCTCTTACTTCCCTCCATCCCCCCATGCCCTCCTCCCAAGAAAATCTGCTAATTCTAGTGGATGTTTATGAAACAAATGCCCTTACATCCCTGTTTTCCTTCCTTTGGAAGCAGCGAGATGAGAAGAGTAGGCAACCCGTGCTTATGTAGAAAATAATAATATTTAAAGAAAGAGACGGGAAATTATATCCGTTATAAGCTTTTTCTTTTTTTTTCTTTTTTAGAATTGTAGCTTATGAGTTTATCTACGCCCGCTATAGTCATAATTACAATTTAATATCTGCATACAAAAGCTATGTAAAAATCCATTTTTCCCAAATATACAAATTTTCGTTTTGGATAGTTTAAAACATTTTGATCACAGATTTCAATAGAGTTTTAGGCTGAAAAAAATATTACCGATCTAGCAATATCACTTAACACCGTTTGCAAAACAAATCTTCCGATGACTGTAAATCTTTTCCTATTCTGTTGAATTTTTCTGATTCTCAGGACATGAAAACATGATGGGGGATAAAAGGTGTTTTCTCTGAAGAAAGGCTTCATAACCAATTTGGCTCTATAATCAGATGAAAAATGCCAATTAGGAAGAACTAAAAGAAAGGGGTGGCATAACGTCAACTCATGCATGCCCTGACATCTTCTATGTCAGCAACACACATGTAATGAAAGTGTCTTCCTTTGTCTTGCTTTGTGCTCCGTAACGTACATGGGTATCATCTGCATCCTGAGGAGGACAGAGTTAAATCTGATTGTCTTGTGCATAAGGTGGGTCAGCTTTAACTGTGCAACAGAAAGCCACAAACAGCATTGTATCTGCACGATATTGCTCTTGAAGGCGGCATTAATGAATGTAGAAACACACTAGAAATGCACACTTTTTGCATTTGCAAACATTTGTACAGCACAGTAAAACTTCTGTGATAAGGCCAAACCTTTTTTTCCCTTAGTCTGTGTGTGTGTGTGTGTGTGTGTGTGTGTGTGTGTGTGTTTAAAGTTTTTATTTTTCTTTTAAAGATTAAAGTAAAATGTTTCGATTGTAAAAAATACACACCGGGCAAATCCTTACCTGGATAATAAATATCTACATCACAGTACAATAAAATTTCTTCTCTATAAAATTTAAATATGGATTATAGTCTGTCCCTATCAAAAGAAACACTATGCTAATATTTCCATATTATTAAAATAACAGGAAAAATTACGAGCTTATTTTAGAACCTTGATGCCGTAGCCATTGGAAAGGACAACGAGATTCAAATGTCTGTAAGCGTTCTCCTTTTGAAGAGGAACTGTGGCCTGGTTATTCACTTCAATTCAGTTTACGAAAAAGGTTTAGCCTTACAAATGCTGGCTACGTTTCAAAAACCATGAGACCAGTTTCATATTTTATGACTCATGCAGCAAAAGGTCAACATGACACGAATGGGTTAGAGGTCCATAGAATAAAAATGTATCACGGACAGTGACATGCTTTGAGGGCATCCGCAGTTCGTGGAGGCTGGGTCTGAGGGGGTTTAGGGCTGAGGAGGAACCAAGCCTGCACCCCTGTTCACTCAGAGGCGACGCGGGGGTGGAGCCGGGCTGGGCGGTCCGATGACCGCGCTGCAGGTGGAAGAGGCGTCTCTCGGGGCGCAGGTGAGAGGCATCACAGGGCTGAGGCAGCAACACGGCAAAGTGTGCCATTGAGGACCGAGGCTCATGTGACTAGCAGAAGCTCGGAGGCGGCACGTGGTGTTTTGAGCAGAATCGTAAAGAAGAAAAGATCTTAACTTTTGTCACTATTTCTAGAAACGCTTAACGTCTAATTGAAGAGCAAAGTACACTTGAGGGTCACACACACACACACACACACACACACACACATACACACACCGGACACCCCAAATTTAAGTGATTTATAAATAGGAATCCCAGTTGTACGGTGTGTTCTCCTCTACTGGGATGTCTCCCCGCTGGGAAGGGTTTCAGTCAGTCCACATTTGATTTGAAAGTCTGGACAACATAAGAAAAAATGTTTAAAATAATCCAGAGCAGATCCCTCCTAATCGAGTTTTATAGGATGGAGTCTTGAGGTGCACTAAGTACCTCAGTCAGTTACAGAAGGAACGAGTCACCTTGACCACTGGGGTTGTGCTTTCAGTCCTTATGGCCTTTCCTTTCAACCTGAAGTACCTGAAGGCTTGTCCTACTCAGCATAAAGCAGTCAGCCTTCGACAAGATTTTTAGATCAGGGGTTTGCCTGTTTAAGGCAATCGTGTAGGGAGCCAAGGGTCAAACATACTTACTTGGGGCTGGTTGGGTGGCTGTAGATCTACCAAACTGCTGGGCCAATGGCCAATCATGTTAATCCCTAAAGTATTGCAGTGCAGCTTTAGATCAGGCTCTGTTAGCTACACTGAATCTGGGGGTGTCTGATGCACTGGGGAATCTCTGTCAGACAAACTGAGGGGACTTTCCTGGGGAGCTTTGCTGACCGAGGAGAACCTCCAGGATCCCCCTGCTTGCTTTTCTCTCCTTCCCTTCAGAGGGAAAACGTGCCCCACCCTGAAAAGCTTCTCAGAGTTGCCCCAGAGCAGAGAAGGTGATGAAACGCTTATGTTTCAAAGAGTAGTTCTCCAAGGAGAGTCAATGGAGGGAGCTGAGATGTTAACATGAGGGCTTGAGGAGACTGGCTAGAGGCTGCCTAAGAAAACAGAACCAAAACACTGTAGATAAGTCAAAGCCAGTAGTCTGCCCGTGAACCTCATGTTCATAATTTCAACCTCTCCACCTATTTCGTTTCTCTGGTTAGCAAGTTCCATAGTGCTGTTCTTGTTTTCTTTCCTCCCCAGAAGCCAGTATAATTGCTTTAGCACTTTAAACAAATCATTTTCCTCCCAGATTATTTCTGGTCACACTTGGGATTTTTAATGCTGTTCTTCCTTTCCCAAAGCCATCATGCCTTTCTCTAAATAACTGATGAGAAGTATGTCAAATTCCTATTTTGAATCAACACCACATATACTTTCCTTAACTGTTAAGAGGGCCACAATTTCTGTCTAATAAAGTTAGAAATTTGAATGTGAAAGAAACCATCAAAAGAACCTGATCCCCCCTTCTCCCGTCCCCCAAACTAGTACAGTATTAAGGATGGGAAGGATTTTAGAGCTCCTGACCTATTCATCAGGTGAGAAAACCAAGACTCAAGGTCACACATCTACCACTTGACAGCACACACTAGAACTCAGGCACCCTGGCTTCTGGGCTAGTTAAAAAAGAATCAATCCATGTGGTTTTTAGGCAAGTTTCACTGATATGGCTTATTTTCCCAAATACTTCCAGGATAAGGCAGTACAAGGCAGGCAGAGGAATAGTTTCTGTCTACCATGCCAGTGAAGAATGAGATACATTCGATTGCATGGGTATATCCTTTGCCCGTCTTCTGACATTGAAGTGACCAGCGGCACCATTTGCCGTCTGGGCACACCCTACTCCAGCGTTTGTCACTGGGGAGGCTGGTTGGGCAGGGAGGGTGAGTGAGGGTTCGTGTGCATGGTCTACAGGTGTTTCCTGCTGAGTGTCTTCCAGGGCAAGGCTGTCAGAGGGACAGAGAGGGTCAGTGGCCGCACCAGGCTTTGTTTGGTGAGAGCCAAGGCTCAGAGTCAGAGGGAAAAGGGGCCTAGGACACACTTGTGAGTAAAGCAAAGAGCCTGAGGATCTAAGACCAGAAGGAAGCAACCTCAGAGCATCGGGATGAGAGGAGGCCCTAAGAGCGCTGCATTTCCTTCAACTTAGAACGTAACCGCACTAATCTCTCCCCGGCATCCCTGCAGAACAAGACTTAGATTTCAGCTTGTTATCGCTCCTTGGTCAGAAGGGTTGATCCATAGGGAGATGTGTTGTCGGCTCAGCAGAGATGCAATCAGGCCGAATAATTTCAGGAGTTTGGGAGGTGAGGGGTCAGATGTCACCGAACAGCGACAACACTGTAAAATAGGTTTGATTCTTGTGGGAATTTTCTCTGAGCCTAAACTGTAAGAAGCCTTCGTACTATGAGGTAACACTAGGTGAATTTTTGGAAACTGTTGAGTCACTGACATTCGTGAAGACTTCGAATTTCTTTGGGCTTACTGAAAGAAATCATTTTCCTAGTTGGCCTCAATCAGTCAAACACCTGCACATCTTTTGAGTCATGCCCTTGTATAACTCGAATTAAATCACAGGATTGTAACAGTTATAGCGAAAGGACAGCTAATTGTTGGGAAACAAATATTCCTATACATTCCAGGTTAGGCTGCTAAGAGAGAATAAAGAGTGCTGAAAACAGCATGCTCTTGAATAGATAAAAGTGTGAAAGCCACATCTAACCGAAGGTGGTCTGCAACGCGCAAATCTGAGTGCTGCAAAAATCAGGATCGGTTCAAGATGACGATATTGTCTTGGTTTTAAGTCTTCTTTAGTCTTCTGCCGCACCATTCTGCTTGCTCCAGTCTCTGACTGGGACAGATGGGAGCTGGTGATGGCTTGGTGCTGGTGAATTAATGATTGTCCCCTGCCACCTCCACAACTGTAAAACCTCCAAAGCATTCAAAGGACTGGAGAACAAAATGCAGTAGTTACAAGTACCCGCATTCAAGGGGCAATTTCATCCATGTCTAGGCCAAGGACTACCTCCCCTTTCCCCCAAACAATCCCTCCCAACACAAAGAAATAAAGGAACAAACAAAAAAGAGCTAGGCAATGGAATGAAATGACACCCAGCAGTGCTGTTGGAATTATGAGAATGAGTCAGTCTAATCCTCAAACACTTCCAAGAACAATGGGGGAAAGAGTTCCGTGGGGCATTCCACCTTCATGTGCAGGAAGCGGCTGGCGTGGCAGGCTCCAATCATCCGCAGATCTGTCACCTTCATCAGGAGTTTTGGCCAAAAGTGAGTCACGTGGTGTTTCCGGTAATTGATATAGTGTTCAAAGGCCAGCAGGAAACTATCTTGGTATTTTTCTATTCTCTCAACACAGGCAAGCCCTGGGCGGTCTGAGGGGAAGAAAGAAGATGGAGGTTAATTTGGAGGCAGAAATGAGAAGGCTTGCCTGGTCCAGTTCAAGCCCTTTCATGTGAAGTGGGCTGATCTGGGGACTTTCAACTCCTAGGAATGGGCATGGAGGCTACAGGAACCCTGGGGCATCAGGGACCAAGATACCAGGGAGTGGCATAACTTACATGAAGCGAGTCAATGCTTTGTTCAGATAAATGTCTCTAGTTTAGACAAATCACCTCTTTGGGTCTGAAGGGCGATGCCTCCCTCCTAGGCTACAGAAAGAGAAGCCTTGCCTAGAGAGCTGAAATACCCTGCATAATAAGGAAGGGTTTTGACAAGCATGGAAATGCAGAGAAGAGAGAGGTGTGAAAAGAGATTGCGAAGATCTCAGGAGGCCTGGATGCCAGAGGAGGAATGTCCGATGGGAAGAAACGCTGGTGAAGAAAGCAGCACGATATCAAATTTTAGTTGTTTACCTTCCCGTCCCTTATACCTTTGGTTGCTACCGTAGCAGCCCTGGGTTGGTGGTGTCTTGGGAAATTAAAATGAAAAGAAAAGGGGACGTGAGCGACGCTAGGGTCACCCTGTGCAGAGAAGAGTCACAGTGGGAAGCTGGAGCTAGAGGAGACCATGACCATGTACAGCCCAGGAAACCTCCCCAAGTCTTGGGAGGACCACTGGTGTAGGAGAGGAATCAAGGCAGTTTCAAAAAAATGATAGAAGGATGTCAAAAGAAGGCTGGATGACGGGGGAATATCTAGGCTGCAAACGATTGGGTTGCAAAAGTGGGTACAGAGGGACTGTACCTCAACATAATAAAGGCCATATATGACAAGCCCACAGCTAACATCATACTAAATGATGAAAAGCTGAAAACTTTTCTTCTAAGATAGAGGACAAGACAAGGATGCCCACTCTTGCCACTTTTATTCAGCATAGGATTACCAGTCCTATCCACAGCAATTAGGCAAGAAAAAGAAAGGCATCCAAATTGGAAAGGAAAAAGTAAAACTGTCACTATTTGCAGATAACATTCCCAACTGCATCAAAAAGAATAAAATACCTAGGAATAAATTCAACCAAGGAGGTGAAAGACCTATACACTGAAAACTATAAGACACGGATGAAAGAAATTGAAGAAGACACAAATAGTGGAATAATATCCCATGCTCATGGATTGGAAGAATTAATATTGTTAAAATGTCTATGCTACTCAAAGCAATCTGCAGATTCAATGCAAACCCTATCAAAATTCAATGGCATTTTTCACAGAAATAGATTAAACAACGCCAGAATTTGTACGGAGACATAAAAGACCCCGAATAGCCAAAGCAATCTTGAGAAAGGAAAACGGAGCTGGAGGTGTCACACTCTCTGATTTACAATAATATTACAAAGTTATAGTAATCAAAACAGTATGGTATTAGCATAAAAACGGACACATAGATCAATGGAACAGAAGAGAAGGCCTAGAAATAAACCCATGCATATGTGGTCAATTAGTTCACGACAAAGGAGCCAAGAATATACAACAGGGAAAGGACAGTCTCTTCAATAAATGGTGTTGGGAAAACTGGATAGCCACATGCAAAAGTATGAGACTGGACCCCTGTCTCATATCATATACAAAAATTAGCTCAGAATGGATTAAAGCCTTGAATATAAGACCTGAAACCATAAAACTCCTAGAAAAACATAGGTGGTAAGCTACCTGGCCTAGGTCTTGGTAACGATTTTTTGGATTTGACTCCAAAAGCAAAAATAAGCAAGGAGAACTATGTAAAACCAGAAATCTTCTGCACAGCAGAGGAAACCATCAACAAAATGAAAAGGCAACTTACTGAATGGGAGAAGATATTTTCAAATCATATATCTGATAAGGGGTTAATATCCAAAAAATATAAAAAACTCATACAACTCAATAGCAAAAAGCCAACCAATCCAGTTGAAACATGGGCAGAGGATCTGAATAGACATTTTTCCAAAGAAGACATACCAGTGGCCTACAGGGACATGAAAAGATGCCCAGCATCACTAATCATCAAGGAAATGCAAATCAAAACCACAATTAGATATCACCTCATACCTGTCAGAATGGCTATTATCAAAAAGAAAAATAACAAGGGAACGTTTATGCACTATTTTGGGGAATGTAAGTTGGTACAACCACTGTGGAAAACAGTATGGAGGTTCCTCAAAAAGTTAAAATAGAGATACCATATGACCCAACAATTCCACTTCTGGGTATTTATCTGAAGAAAACAAAATCACTAAGTCAAAGACATATCTGCACCACCCCCACCATGTTCTCTGAAGCATTATTACAATAGCTAAAGTGTGGAAACAACCTAAGTGTCCATTGATGGATGAATGGATAAAGAAGATGTGATTCACACACACACACACACACACACACACACACACCCCACCCTGGAATACTATTTAGTCATAAAGAATGGAATCTTGCTATTTGCAACAATATGGATGGATCTTGAGGGTATTATGCTAAGTGAAATAAGTCAGAGAAAGACAAATACCGTATGATCACACTTATTTGTGGAATCTAAAAAACAAACAAAACCCCAGCAAGCTCATAGACACAGCAGATTGGTGGTTGCCAGAGGACGGGGGTGGGTGGGTGAGATGGGTGAAGGGGGTCAAAAGGTACAAACTTCCAGTTATAAAATAAATAAGTCATAGGGATGTAATGTACAGGTGACTATAGCTAATAATACTGTAATTGCATATTTGCAAGTTGCTAAGAGCGTAAAAGTCCTCATCGCAAGAAAAAAATGTGCAACTATATATGGGGATGGATGTTAGCTAGACTTATTGTGGCGATCGTTTTGAAATATGTACAAATATCCAATCATTATCCGGTACACCTGAAACTAATGCAATGTTATATGACAATTATACCTCAATAAAAATGAAAAAAAAAAAAAAAGAACCGTATAAACCTGAATGAATTCCTCATACAGCTTCAGGGAGCCCTACCATCCCCCTGCCCACTTCTCCTCAGGTTGTGTCTCTGATCAAATACATTCATGCTTCACGTGTCTAGTTATTGAAATATCTGTATTAGTAAAACTCTAAGTAGGGTTCTGCTTAATCTGAAAGAAAGAATCAGGGCTATTGTCTCAGTGCACCCTTCTGAGTTTAAACAAAATATGCTGGCTTTTGAAATCTGCTATCCAGCTCAAATTGCAATTTGTGCATTTTAATTTTGTGTTTTCCTTCATATTTAATGCTGCTGCTCTGAGGCTCTGCTGAATCTCCCTTCTGTTCCCTGTCTCCTCTCTCTCTTTGCATGTGCCAGATAAATTCTCCACAGGATCCTGTAACTTTTGATCCAGACAGAAAATCAACATGATGTTGCTCCGCACTTACTTTGTTCAGTTTCTTTACTTTAAAGGACACTGAAGGCCAGAGACCCTAGCAGCTTCACTCGAGGTCACACAGGGAGGCCTTAGATGAGTTACACATTTTATTTCTTTAAGGATAATTCTATTGATGGGCTGAGGGCCCTGGCTTCTCCCTGGCTGTCGACTGGAGACTGCCCTCGGCTTCCAGGGGCCACAAGAAGCTCCCTGTCACCTGAGCAAGGAGAGTTGTCAGAGCACATCTGCTCCCAAGAGGGACTCGCGTATAATATAATGTAACGCAGTCACATGGGTGACACTGAATTCCCCGGATTCTAAGTGGAGTAGGTCATGGGTTCTCACACACTCAACAGGAGGGGGTGAGCATCAGAAGAGGAGGAAAAGGGAAGGCCGTGCTAGAGCCTGCCCACCACACAGGATAAGGGTATGAGTGACACCAGCATCCTGTACGAAGTCCAGTACACATAAAACCAGAAGGGGGCAGGGTTGGTCAACCGCCCCAGGCAGGCCGGGCAGCGTCTATAGAAGGTGGACCATTTCATCGAGTCTTTAGCACGGCTCCTCTTTTCCCTCCCCACTACACGGGGAGACTGCAGAAAGCATCCGGAGCCTGACACCCCCCTTCAGGTCCCAGGCCGTCGGCTAACCCCCGCTCGCTCACTTGCTGGAGGGGAGCGAGACGTGATTCTGAAGCTACCGGGGGACCGGAAACCCATCAAGTGATCTGAATGCACACCAGACAAGCGCGAGCTCTCTGGATGCCCAGCCTGGGCACACTCACCTGAAGACATCAGCAGGACGGCCTGAAGGAGCGCGACTTCAGTGTCATCCAGGTTGAAAGAAGACAGCGACATGCCCAGGTCGAAGATGGCGTCGGACACCACCCCAAGACCCCCGTTTTTGAGCTGGCCCCGAGTCACCGCCATCTCCCCATTCAAGGTTAAAGTCTCACTTTCTGGATCGTAGCGCACAGCAGCGCGAAGGGACATGATCTCCATGCAGCAGCCTTTGAGGAGGATTATCTGGTCTTCGCATGGCAGCTGAAAAGAACCAGGGCACGTCAGCAAGGAGCAGTTGCCAGTTAGGAAGCGCGCGCGGGGCCTCCAGGGCCACGGGGACGGTCCCCCGCAAGCAGCACCCGTCCTGCCCCCTGTGAGCCCGTGGCCTTCCCTTTCTGCTCGGCTGCAGACGTCCACAACCATTTTTCATACTCCAGACTGCTCGTAATCTTCACCAACTTTAATCTTGGTGGTTTGCATTGTATTCCAGTCACATGTGAAACTGTGCTAGTCACGGGGGTGTCTGTTACACCACCAACGGAGACCTGCCTAAATGCACCCCCATTGTGGTCTGGTAGCTCTGACAGTCAACAGCTGACTCCACCGTTCAGCTGGCAACTGCCCTGCTCTGTTTTTTGAAGCAAGTTTGCTCCCTGAATCTCTTAAAAGGCCAAGAACGAGGAGGTCGCTTACAGATGCATGTCACCCACAAGACTGAGAGATGCCCCAGCTTTGCTCAGTCACCTAGTGAGCCAGAGGTGAGACCAGAATCCAGACCTCCTGGCTCCTAGGTCGTTACCTTCTCCTCAGCACCTCAGGCACCAGAATCACTCCACATGCTGTATATTTCCGCCAGTGTCCTAATCTCATTTTAAGCTCATTTGGTTGCCCTGGTAATTAGGGTTTGTGATAATGTGATAACAACATCAATAATAAACTTAAAAAAAAAAAAACTTTGCGAAGGAGTAAAAAATGAGAGTTTGATTTTCTGGAGGGGGAGAATGTTTAAGTGCCGTTATCAAAGTTTGAAAGACTATTAGCTAATGGGTGTTTTTGATGAATTGGGCATGGTGCTAAGATTTACATGCATCGCCTTGTTTAATGTTCGCAGCAATGCAGTGAGGTAAATATTCTAATTCCAGTTTTACTGACAGGTGTGGAAATTCAGGCACTGAGAGATCGAGCGACATGCTAGGGAGTCCCATGAGTGTTTGTGGGTGAGGCGAGGGGTGGAAGCCAGCTCTGTCAGAATCCAAGGCCAAGAGAAGGGGAGAGCTTGCTCTTTGAAGGGCTTTGGGTGTGCGTTTCCGTAAACAACGAACATGTAATGACACATAATTTCTATCTATTCATTAAAGCAGGTACCAGTTCTCTTTTGGGAAATACTCTTGGCAACACTTGACTAGTTCAATTTAGGATATTATGTCAGACTGAAAGTAATACTATGAATTACCTTTAAAATACGGGATATTTCATATTTTTTACTAACTCAACCTACCCACCTTACTGTTTAATTGCTTTGCTTTCTCTATAGAATAAAAGGCATTTTGTATTTGGTTCTGGAATCCATTCATGTGAATTCTCTCCTTCTACTCATTAAAAAGAAAATGACTGTGATTTGCTTTTAATTAGGCTCTAATTTGTACTCCTCAGTTACATCCTTGGATTCCTGGCCTTGGGGCCTGGTAGGAAACAGGAGACCAGAGCGTAGCTAGATCCTCCACAGGCAAGTAGAAAGTTGGCTCAAGTGTGTGGACACTGGCTTAACTGCCGAGGGCAGCGGTCCTGTCTGCAGCCCCATCACTGTCACCGAGGGCTTGTTAAACACACACTGCTGGCCCTGCCGTCTCGGTGTCTGCATCCTCCGAGTTCCCAGGTGATGCCCACGCACCTGGTTCAGGGACCCCACTCTTGAGAACCACGGACATAGAGTAGCAAAGAGAAATGACTCATCAGATAAAACCATTGTTTTCTTTTTTTTAAGCTGTCACATAGTATGCAGCTAAGAGTTAAAATTTCAATACAAGCAGAATAAGGATTTGTCAAGGATCACCAACGGTTTAAAAACTAGGCCAGATGCCTTTTCCTTTAAGAGGGGTTTGCAGGATCCTGCTGAGGCCTGTTCCCGCACGTGGGCAAACAACCTCTTAGTCACCTGCCGAAAGACTTCCATTGCGAGAATGCTCCAGAAAGGGCCTGCCAGGCAGAGAGGCTCCTGGGAGAGCATCTCTCGGGTTGACTGGCAGGGACGCCAGTGCCCTGCACTCTAACAAGTGATTCTTAGGTGCGCTTTTGGCAGCTCTGCCCGCAGTGACGTCAGATCTTTCGAAGCCCTCGGTTGGCAGGCTGGCATAGATCTTAGCAGAAAACTATTGCGAGTGCGGTTTGAACAGCAGATGCGTCAGATTGCCTCTGGCATGAAACTCCTGGTCCCCGAGGCCACCTGGGGTCTCCAGCCCACTCCACAGGTAGCTCAGGGCCTCCACAGTTCATTTCCCTCTTTGGCGTTCCAAAGAGGGTGTCAGAGGGTAAAGGCCCTCAGGAGGCCACAAACACCAGAAGCGTACGCATCTCTGCTGTCAAAGTAGCCGCCCGCCCACATTTTTTTTCAGTTTGGAGACTACAAAATATCAGGGTTGAAAGAGAGATGAAATCATGACTTTGAAGCAGACGTAAATTCCTAAGGGAAACTTGAAGGGAGAAGCTCGCCGCAACTCATGCTTGAAAAGTTGCGTGCTGAGCCCTCAGCCTTGCCAAGGACATAAGTGCACGGCGTGTTTGTGGCTGGTGGTGGGAAGGCTTCTTTTCTTTCTTTAACTGACATATCTCTCAGAGGCCGGTTTCCACGAGCTTTACATTTTCTGAAAAACATTTTCTGGTGGGTATTCAAAGGGGAACACAGGACTGATAGGCTAGCTCAAGTTGTAGAGCTAGCAAACTCAACGGAGTTCTTTCCAGACACCAGGGACTGAGAAAAGAGGGCACAGCCCGGAGAGAGAGGACCAAGAGAGGTCCAGGGAAACAAACTCAACCCAGTGCACAGGAACGAAAGATGGTACCTGGAGTCAGAGGAAGCCGGTGTCCACGGCACAGCCGCGAGAGGGTACACACTTTCTAGAGGGCAACTTGGCAACACGTATCGAGAGCCCTAAAAGGTGTAGCCAAGGTCCTTAAATTCCGCTTCTAGGATTTGCCCTTAGGAAATAGGCAGCTTTGTGAACTGGGCGTAGGTACCAGGATGCTCGCTGCAGAATATTTATATTAGTGAAAAACTGGATGTGAGCTAAAGATCCTGTAACAGCAGAGAACCTAAATTATGGGAGAGCTATTCCTTAGCATACTATGTGGTCATTAAATATTATTTTGTCTCGTGGTTACCAGTAGGGGGGAGGGGAGGGGGAGATACAACCTATTGAGTATAAGATGGCTCAAGCGTGTATTGTACAACACGGGGAATAGAGCCATATTTTGTAATAACTGTAAATGGAAAGTAACCTTTAAAAATTGTATAACAATTTAAAAATTAAGTAACTGTAGAGTTAAGCAATATTATTTCATGAGAGAACACTTAAATGTTATGTTCTACAGCTGAGGGTAGAAAGTTAAGGCATTAGACACCAGGGTGCTGGCAGTGATCTGTTTCTTTATCTTGGTGCTGGTTACGCGGGTGTGTTGGGTCTGTGACAATTCACTGACCTGCACCCTTATGATATGTGCCCCTTACTCTTTAGTAAAAAGTCTGAAAAGGTAGTTTCCTAAGTAGAACGTTCATTATGGTACAAACTATATTAATATATTCCGTATATGTATGTGTGTGTATATATGCACGTGTGTATACACACACAGGTTTGAGAAAAGGAACTACGCTCCAAAATGTCAGCAGTTCATCTCCTGGTGGTGTTACCATGAATCGTTGCCTTTATTGTGCTGTGTCGGTCTCCAATGAATACGTATGATTTCTGTAACAGCCTCCAAAACTTTAATAGACGTTAATTTAAAAAAATGGTCAGAGGCATGGAAAAGCACACCAAATACAGATACAAGTCACAGTTCCTCGTCCAGGGCTCGCCGGCTCCCCTGGGGTGGGTACAAGTGGTCCCCACCACGCAGCTGCTGGCGGCCCGCGTGGCACCTGGCCCCCAGCACCCTGCGGCTGGGGGTGACCAGGAGGCATACACTCTGTCTCAGCGAGGCCTACGACCAGATAGATTCCTGTGTCCCGAAGCCCCCTGTTCTGTCCTTCCAGGTATGGCTTCTGTGCAGGCTCAGAAATGGCCACGAGAAGGGTCCCTATCAGGGTCTGAGGTCTCTCAGGATCCTAGCGGGCTCCCTTGACTGCAAACTCAGATGCACGTGAACTGGAGGCCACGGTGGGATGGGGTCGTTCCAGGTGAGGACACTAAGCCTCCTTCTGGGGGAGACTAGGTTCCCTGGCACTCAGGTAGCTTCCATAAGGGGCCGGGGGCAGGACGTGGCCCTCTGTTCGAGATCTTTCTGGGACCTCTTGGAGGTCTGAAGAGCAACAGGTTGGCCCTCGGTGGGGTTTTTCGAAGGGGAAGATTCTCCGGAAAACATCATCAACCCCATTTGATTAAAAAAAAAAAGAAGATTAGAGACAGAATGGTAATGTAATAGATGAAAGAACAGCAGAATTCACAGCTGAAATTTATGGAACATTTATGACCCAGGCACTACCCATAAATTATCCCATTGAAGCCTCCTAATAGTTCTAAGAGGTAGATCTTACTCTGACTCCTATTTTAAAGATGAGATAACCAAGGTTTGAAGACATCTGATAACTAATCAAGGACGCTCGGCCCTGCAGAGCCCGTGCCCTCAGCTCCCACATGGTAGGACGGCTACAGTTGGGATGAAGTGTCCCGAGGAAAGTCTATGAGCTCTGGTGGGTGAGCTCTTCAGTGTGCCCTGAAGGTGGGGCAAGAAAGGGTGAGCTTCTAAGAGGGAAGACTTACGGAGATTTTAAGATCCTTGCTCTGTGAGGGTCGTTTCACCTGTCCTTGAGGATGAAGAAACCACCACACAGCCATCTTGCTGGGATACGTAGTGGAAATAATACAGCTGGAGACTCAAAAGAACCACGGCCTCACCTTGAGTGGGTGAAATTCATCTCTTTGATCTTAATTTTCCCCATCTGTGAAATGGGGTTAATTAGAGCTATCCTGCTGATCTGTTAGCAGGACTGGATTTAGAGTGGCAAACCTGGGCGTGGCAACCGGGACATCACGGGTGCTGACTGATGGAGCGATGGCTGTCATGTTTTCCTGCGCCTGGAGCCAGGCAGGTCGAGAGGCTCTTTGTCGACCTCATGTGGACAAGCTAATGGATGACGACCCAACAGAGAAGGTGGGGAGGCGCACGAAACAGTGCATTGCCGTTCTGTACTGCCATGGCTTTCGTATGACTAAGCCCCGACTAATTAGTATTAAATTACACGTCATAGTCAGTATTCCTGGAGATCGAGGAAACTACAATGAGAAAGAATGAAGAAGGAAGAGCAATCTCCTCACCTCACAAAACATAGGCAACTTTTTGGCAAAATCCACCACTCTGGTAATTGCTGGTGTGATGATTTTTGTAAAATGGCTGAAGGCTTCCAAGTCGACCTTTCCACCTTCTGGGGCGTTTACTATTGGCGCTTGTCCAATGTCTTCTGGCTGAGGTGAGACAAAGAAAATTTAAATGGAGACATCGAAGGGATCACGGATCACGGTTCTCACGCGGCAGAAAATCTCTTCTGAACTGACATACTGTACACTCTCCGCATCTTGTGTTAACAGACCCTAGAGTTTTCACGTCCTTTAGTTCTCTGATCAAAGATACCTGTCTTGGCCATTGCTTTCAAAGGCCCCCAGTGATCACGGCCACAGGATTGTTGCTGCAGAAAGAAAGAGAAAGTGAGAGAGAGAGAAAGAGGGAGAGAAAGAGGGAGAGAGGGAGGAACAACAGGGATGCTTCTGACCGCACAAAGGTGACCTATGCTCTGGGGGCTCTGGGGGGTGCCTTTCTGTGGGAGGTGGGCACGGCGTGGGCAGGGATGGGGAGGTCTGGCCAACAGCACCCAGGGGCGTCATTCTTGCTTCCGATGCCTTTTGCTTGGCTCGAGCCCTCCACACGCCAGCTGGAGGAGGCCTCCGCGGGCTGGGGGAAGCCCTCTGCTTTGGGTCGCCTCCAGGGACTGGGCTGTGTACGCTGGGCAAACTGGAGGGCAGAGTGGAGAATGGACTGGTACGACTTCTCTGCCCTTGTTCGCAACCATCCATCGCCTTGCTGCTCACAGGGTGGGTGTCAGCAGCTTGGGTGTCATCTGGAGACTTGCTGGAAATGCAGAATCCCGGCCCCCTCCCCAGGCCTACTGGTGCAGAAGCATCACGCGCGCAAGCCCTCAGGCGCTGTGCACACGCCAGGCCCCCATGTCCACTGGGGCCTTCCAGCTCCTTGGCCTGCTGTCCAGTGACCGCCGTGCTGTGGCCTCTCCACCCTCTGCTGTTGTCAGCACTGCTCCCTGCCAGGGACAGTCCTCCCGGTCACCCTTCCTGGTCCTTGTGATGACAAAGACCGCCTCAGGGGTCCTCACCCAATTCCCGGCAGGCAGGTGGGCAAAGGAGCACCCAGGGAGGTTAAAGACGGTCCCCTGAGGCCAGGACTGATTGCTGGTCTTCCAGGAAGTTTAATGGGATCAGAGGATCCTACCCTGCCCGACGGTGACCCTCTTTGCCTAGAGTCACGGTGCACATGCAGGAACCAGGCAGCAGGGTGGGAGGCGCAGGAAGCGGGGCAGAGAGGGCAGCGGGTACTGGCTCTGTGAGCCTGCTGAGCCGTCACCGCTGAATGGCTGGTGAGCGCACCGCTGGTGACAAGACCGTGGCCTGCCTCTAAGGTCCCCCAGACTTTCCTGTGCATCAGAATGACCCCCCAGACTTTCCAATTTAGTAGGTCTCTGTTAGAGAATCTGAGTTCCTAACAACTTCCCAGGGCACCGATGCTTCTGGTCTAAGCCCACACTTTGAGAACCACTGGGCTAGCACTGAGGAACCCACTTCCCATTTCTCTTCCCCCATCTCCCCTGTTACTGCTCACGTCTAAGTTTTAGCACGAAGAAAAGCAGGGATGATTCTTTCACTCTCTTGTTGCCAGGGCACCAGGGTCAACAGGAACAGCCCAGGCCCTCCAAAGTGTGGTCAAAGTTGTGGGTACAGCCTGGGGAAGGATTTTTAAATCTATTACATAACAAATTCTGGCAGCATTGACCTTTCTGGAATTCTGTTTATTTTATTTTACTTTTTTTATTGTTTGTTTTGGGGGCAGTGAGTGGATGGGAAAGAAGGCTGCTTTCCGTCTTGTTTCAGAATCAATGACGATATTTTGGGGCAACTGCTGGCATGGCAAAGCCTAGGAAGGCTACTGGTTCTCCGGGTGCAGACGGAATTGATGGAATAATCACATGTACAGCTTCTCTCACTCTCTCTCTCTCTCTGTCTCTCTGTCTTTCTCACATAGACTGAGCTAAGGGAAAAGGTACACAGAAAGTCTGGGCGTGATTCTGATACACAGTGAAGTTTGGTCACTGCTACTTCTGGCATCCTTCAGACCTCCTTGCTGGTCTTTCTAATCTCTGCCACCCCGAAATGCGGCCTGTCTCACCTGTGTGTCTACTGTACAGCTCTCTTATGAAGATCAACTGATAAAAGGAACATGGTCACACATTAAAAAGGTAGGGAGGTGTACACACACACACACACACACATAGGGTGAACTTTTTAAGAAATAAAAATATTTTAATAACATAGCTTTGGCCTGGAATGGTCTTCAGTGGCTTACTATGGATATTAATAATTTCCATTTAATCTGTGAGTCTGTGGGGAATTTGAATCACTGTCTGTGATACCTCTAAAGGTTTGAAAAATAGGAGGGAAATTATACAAGGAAATATGACAATTTTAACTAAAATTAAATGCCCAAATGTAACAACCTCACAAGCTTTCCTGTTGATAAGTATCAGAGTAGGAAAAAAATTTACTTTTAAGCCTTTGGGTATTTAATGGAAAATACAATTGCTAGAAGTAAAACCACATACAAAGTAGAAGCCTTCTATTACATTATTAAGCTTTCTATCCATAATAGGCCTTGGATACTAGAAAAAAACATATAGGAGCTTGGTGTGGTGTCTGCTGGTTCCGGGAGATTCGAGCTCCAGCCAGGATGATCGAGGTTGTTTGCAACGACCGTCTGGGGTGAACCTGGAGCTTTATTACCAATAGAGCAGAGTTCCTTCTCCCTGTCCTTCCCTCTTCCCCCACCCTCGCCCCCCACACTAATATGGATGCTTGTTTTTGAAAACTCATGTCAGTAAAAACTTAGAGGCTGAAAAAAGAAAATGTATGAATTGACCCAAGTTAACGCATCAGGAATACAATTAAAGCTGAGCTCGTTTGTGACTTCCCTGAAGGTTTTTTACCCATAAGGACAACACACTATTTGCTAAAATATTTGGAAGATGTTAAAAATAGAGTACCAATATTTGGCACAATTGAATCTACTGGATCGCTTCTTACAGCTAGTAGCCTAGAGTGCACTCCCTGAACACGTGTGCTCACACACACGTGTGTTTATGCACATGAGATCGAACTTGGAGACTGAGGATAGGTGAGGCTTGCAGGCTCACCACTGGGGACTGTGGGGAAGCCTGGTTTTTGCCTCTGTGGATCATAGTGCTTGAGCTGCTCAAAGGGGTGGGCAGGGGGCCCTAATGGACCTCCGGAGCCTGCCCTGCCTACCTCTTCCCGTCTCTGCCACAACTTGCTTCATGCTTTTCCATCTCGGGGCGGCCTTCCTCCTGGACTTTTGCTTTCTTCAAAGTCCTCACTTCTGTCTCATCTCTGCCAATTCCAAATCCCACCCACTTGCAATTCTGTCTTCTCCTCGAAGCCCTCTCAGATGGCCTCAGTGGGAAATGATTCTACCTCATTTGAATACACCTGGTGGCCCATGTAACCACTCATCTGGCATCTAGGCACTTATTACTATTACTTTTATTGTAGTTATGCAGGTACACATCTAAGATATGAACTCGAGGTGGGGGGATATGCCTTGAGTATCTGTCTACTGTGTAGACGGCACTGGGCCAAATGGTGGAGGATTGAGGGAGTGAATAAACCTGTGTTTATACATGCACTCAACCAATGTTTATTGAGCAACTACTATGGGGTCAGGCCTTGTTCGAGATGCTGAGGTGACAGCAATGAACAATGTATCCTCAAGGAACCTTCATACAGTGAAGGAAGACAGACAATAAATGAAAAGAATACTCTCATGGAAGAATTTTAGTTTGTGATAAGACTGGAGATGACTTAATGGGGCTCAGGAGGTAGGGTGGTCAGCCAGGCCCCTTTGAGAAGTAATGTGTGAGCTTTAACTTGCAGAATGTCAAGAAGGCAGCCTTCCACAGATGCAGAGGACATTTTCGGCAGAGGGCAAACCCAGTGCAAAGTCCCAAGGTCAGAAAGGAGGCCCGTGTGGTTAGGCCCAGAGGATGGAGGGGCGGCAAGGGTCCCATCACGATGGGCCTTCAGGGCCATGGAGGGGAGATGGGCACATTTTAAATGCCATGGGGCACCGCTGAAAGGCTTTAAATGGGAGCAGCACGACAAAATTTATGGTCCTATGTGGAGAAGGGATGTGGTTGCCAAGGAAGGGGTGGGAGAACAGCAGCAGTGGTTTGGGCAGGAGATGAAGTGGGCTGGACCACGGGGGCAGCAGGAGAGATGGAGAAAAGTGGGACTTGGAGACATACCTAGGGAGCCCAGGGCAGGGGTTTCTGATGGGCTGGAGATGGGGTGAAGGTCAATAAGGAATCCAGCACGTATCCTCTGGGGCAGTGGAGGGGGGGACCTATAGAAGGAGAGATTCAGGGGTGTGTGCAGGTGTGGGCTTCAACCCTAGCTCAGCACTAGAGGTAGCTGGTATGACACAAATCGAGACGAACTGGGGCTTTGTGCTTTGACTGTTGCATCAGAATTGTTCAAGGTGAATCGGAAGTGCCACCAGCTGACCCCTTTGCAAGTGGCTGTCTCAGAGCTGAGGGCTTCTTGGCTGGGGTCTCTGGCACATGCAGAGGGGATGGGGCCAGACGGGACTCTTCTCTTCCTCTGAGTGATCACAGTGTGTCTCCCCGCACCTTTGTGATGGGGAACAAATGGTGATGAGAGGTCCCTGGGCCTTGGGCCTTTTCCTGGGGAAAGCAGGGACAGGATGGTACGGGTGGTGGTGCAGGGATGATGCACACTGTAACTCCGTAGGAGCTTGTTAACGACATGCCAAGCACTTCTATCGATTACTTTTACACCATTGATAAGGGCATAAAGGCAACCGAGACTTAGAGATGGGAAGTAACTTACCCAAAGTCACATAATTAAAAAGCAACAGAGGCAAGCAACAAACTCAGGCTGTCTGGTTCCAGTTTCTATGCACATAACTACTAGACTACACTGCCTTCTTCTGATGTAATTATAATCATTTTGGGTGACAGAAGCCTTCCTGGCTTGATTGCACCTGTTTTATGACCACACGTGGTCAAATCACCCATCCTGCATCACCCTTCTGCTTATGCCCCTTTTCTGAGGCTGTTATTGAGAATTTGTGTCATCAGACAGTAGTTCTGCCGGGGAAAAGTGGGGCAGGCCCACCCTGGTTCTGATGGTCACATTTGATACCTGGTGGAAAATCCACCCAAAGCCATACCTTTGCATGTGAACTAAGGGAGCAGAGTAATAAGGAGACAGGCTGGGACCTGGGACCTGGGACCCTTGGCTGCAGGGCTTGCACCCGGACAAACGTCTCCTCCCACAAGAAAATACAAAGAAACTATAAGGGACTAAAAATAACTGCGTACATGTGCAGTTGGGGCAAATAATGGACAAGACGAAACAAAAAGACCAAAGTAAAAAACAAACCCACCTGCCACTTCTGAAGAGCCGGGAGCAAAAGCACAGTACTGGGCATGCTCCTTGCACTCAGCACCACCAAGGGGTGGGCAGACCACCTAGGACATCCCTCTGGCCCCACCCCTCCCGTCCCCACATATAAGGAACCAGCTCACCCCCCCCCACTCCCCCCAGGGAGCTAGCAAGGGCAACTGCTACTTGTTCTCGCTCCCTCCTGCTGCAGCAGGGACCCCAATAAAGCCTTGCCTGAATTCCTTATCTGGCCTCTGATCAATTTCTATTGATTAGGGAGTCCAAGAACTCTGGCGGGTAAAAACAACACAGTGTTCAACAGACAATACTGTCGCTGTACGGAGTTTACTCCAATCCAGTGTCTTCCACATCTGGGAGCGCAGATGTGAGCTGCCTTGGTGGAGAGACTCTGCTTTCCCTTGTTCACCACCACCGGCCTCTTGCCCCCCCTCTCAGTCCACATCTACTTTTCATCATCACTGCCACCACACAGGAATCGGTACTTCTGCACCATCAGAGATTTGAGTGGATTGGAGAATGACTTAAATGTTTTTGGAAGTAGTTTTAAAGAGTGGCTTTAGAATTACTGTGAAAATCTGCATGGCTTTTGCAAAAGTTCCTTACTTGCCAATGACTCATTTTCACAGGCGTATCGATTTGAAACCCCGGTCCAACCACCCATCTCTGTTTATGACTTGAGTCCTGGTCTTCGGGTAAAAAACGATGAAGAAGCTCCTTTTGGGAAGTAAGTTACTTACCCATTCCAGATAAATGAATACTTCTAGCTTTTATGACAACGTATAATTTTTAATCCCTTATGACATTGCCACACTATTATTAACATAATAGGCCTCCTCAAATTCTTTTCCAGAACAAGATGGGCAATCATCACATAAAAATAAATGAAGTAATATACATAGCAGTGTTGTAAGCAAAAAAAGTGGTCTTGGCCACACAAGAAATGCAAATCTGAACGTGCAGAAGCCAGTTCAGGACATGGATACTATGTAGCAAAGCTGTCTTTAATGAAGGATTGTTTTTTTTGTTTCTTAGAGATTTTTTTGATGTGGACCATTTTTAAAGACTTTATTGAATTGGTTACAATATTGTTTCTGTTTTATGTTTTGGTGTTTTGGCCGGGGGGCATGTGGGATCTTAGCTCCCCAACCAGGGATTGAACCCGCACCCCCTGCTTTGGAAGGTGAAGTCTTAACAGCTGTACTACCAGGAAAGTCCCTAATGAAGGATTCTTAATGTCCTTGCGGGAATAATTCACCCCTCAAAAGCGTGAACTTTTTCTCCTGAGCATAAATACTCAGTCAGAGTCACCCTGCTGCAGGGGATGTGCGTAAATGTGTCAAGTGGCTAAGACACAGGGCTTAGTTGTGCTGTTTCTGAGGATGGGCCCATGGAACTGGATGGTTTGTTACACAGATATTTACTGGGCTCTATTCTGGTTATCTACTGCTGTGTAACAAACCTCCCCAAAACTTAGTGGCTGAAAACAACAAATTTTCACTCTCTCTCTCAGAGTTCTGTGGATTGATGGGCTCAGCTGGGTGGTTCTCACTTGGGGTCCCTCATGAAATGGCAGCAGAGTCTGGTGTCACCTGCAGGCTTTCTTATTCACATTTCTGGTGCCTGGGCTGGTTGGGAATCTCTCCAAATGGCTGGCTTGAGCTTCCTCACAGCATGGTGGTCTCAAGGTAGTTGGACTTTTTTTTACATGGCAGTTGGCTTCCCTCAGAGAGACCAGATGGCGTCCCTCTCCAACATAACCAGTGCGGAACTGCAAGCCTTCTTATAACTCAGCCTTAGAAGTCGCTCTGCCCAAATCCATTGCTTCAAGGAATCACAGCCCAGCCCAGCCTCAAGGGAAGAGAGGAGTACACTCCACCTCTCCATGGGAGAGAATGGGCCGTGAAGACAGGGAGGAGAGAATTTATTGGCAGTCACCCTGGTGAAAAGATACCACACGTTTCAACCACGTTGCATAGTGTGGTGGTTAAGAGCATGGATCCTGGAGCTGGGCTGTGTCCATCACCACTGCTTACTAGCTGGGGGATTGAGGGTAAATCTCCTTAACTTCTTTGTCTCCGTTTGTAAAATGGAGATATTAACCACATCTACCTACATAGGTTGGTTGACATAGGGAGTTAATATCTGGAAAGCACTTACACTGGTACCTGTCACTTGGCCAGGGCCATCCAAGTGTCTCCTAACTTAACTGTTAGTGGCTGCCATCAACAAAGTGTGTTAGAAGCTGCTCGTTAACAACAATGAAGGTAATTATTGGAGGGCAGGTGGATTATGGGTAAGCTTTTCCTTTCCAAAAATTTCCTTTAAGGTTGTTGTTATACCGTCTTCATGAAACCAACCAAACCAAACCAAACCAAAAGCTAGCCCATTATAGTGGTGATGTTGAGGCGTGAAGACAATGACAGCCTATATCTCTTTGTTAGATGAGGAGTGCCCTCACCTACCCGGGAGATACAAACAGACCCACAGAATATCCGATGCTGGGACTGAGTGAGGTCCTCATAAAGCTTCATGTCATAAACTAAGAGCTGGGTCAGTCTCCGAGACGGCCCAACACCAGCTGGTGGTGGGACGGGTGGTCCATCTGGGAACTGGGGACAACAGACGTGAGTTGGCCTTTGGGCCTGGCCCAGCCACTTTCTGGCATTGTGACCTTCGGGCGAGACACTGAAGGCTTGGTTTGTGTACCTATAAAACGCGCATAGTGATTCCAGCCTACCTACCCCAAAGCGTTGTGAAGTCCAAAGAAGAAATAGAAGGAAGGACTTTCACGATGGGTAGTTTTTATAAAAACATCAAACATTGCTATTCCAAGGGTCTGGAAAGGCCTGTTTTTCTTTACACTCCCCTCCCCCATCCCTTCTCCCCATTCCCACCGTCCTCCTGGACGCGAGATAATTTATTTTAAACTCAACATTTTGACTTCTGTTGGCATAAAAATATGAGATATGAGTCACTTCATTCTAGGGGTGATTCTAAAGGGGATATTTTGGAGTGAGTTTAGGGGACTAGGTATGTATATAAATGGGCATCTGAAGGAAGACATAGGTATAAAAAGGGAAAGCTAGCAGGTAAAGAATTTTGCTAATTAGTTGATCCAGGGCTGCCCTTACAGCAAAAGCAAAGAGGTAAGTGCGTTAGAATTCAGTGACTCACAGGCAGGAGAAGGTCAGACAGACCTGGGTTTATATCCTGCTTCTGTACTCTACTCCGGTCAATCAGATGCAGCGAGGACACCAGCATCCTGGATTCTGAGGACCAAACGGATCGCGCAGAGGTGGAAGTGGAAGCGGAAGGGGCGGGGCCTTACCAGGAACTTCCGCTTCTGCTTCCAGTGGCTCCCTTGGGCGTTGGTGGCCACGTGGGCCTCGGTGACGGTCTTGATGAGCTCCCACTCCTGGTCGGTGGGCTCGGGCTTGTGACCGATGGATCTCTGCAGCTCCTCCCGCCGCCTTTTCTCCCGGTTCTCCTCGATCAGCTTCCTCTTGGCCAGACGCTTGCTGTCGTCCAGGACCACTGGGGGCAGGGAGGGACACAGAACAGACACTCCCCAGACACCTGGCAGACCCGCGGCGGCTCGGGCCGCTGCATAGCCCGCTCAGGGGGCCTGCGGGGGTCACCCTGGGCCATTTCTCCCTTGGCAGCAAAGTGCTATGGACGACAGCCATCTTCCACCACTAGCCCCAGCACCAAACTCCGGATGCCTAGCCAGCTTTCTAGAACAAAGATGGGGGTGGGGTGGGGGGGATGGGGGCTGGACACTGGGCATCTCAGCCCCACAGAGGGGGGGGGGGCCCTAGATAAGAATGAACCAGAGACAGGTAAAGCCCATCCTACCTATAGGTTCACAGGTGTGTCTGTCTAGCCAATCATATGAATTCACTCTTGGGGTTTCTGTTCCTTCCCTCTGCCCCGCAAATGGCTCTTACTAAGAAGAACTGCAGGTTCAGAAAGTTCTTGAGCAGTAAACAGAGGCTGGCGATCCCTTCCTCAAAGGAAAAAGGAGTCTAACTCTTCATTCGTTTCCTGAAGGCTGATTGGAGTATGGCGGGGCCTAGCTCAGGCCTCACAGGCACTCACTTTGCATTCCTCTCTACCTGGTCAACGCTCAAAGGTGTGAGAAAGACTCGGGTTTGAATCCCTATATTACCACATTCTAGCTGTGTGACCTTTGGAAGGTTACTGAGGCTCTCTGAGTTTTCATTTCTTCCCATATAAAATCCGATCAAGGGACTTCCCTGGCAGTCTAGTGGTTAAGACTTCTCTTTCCAATGCACAGGTTGCGGGTTCCATCCCTGGCTGGGGAGCTAAGATCCCACATGCCTCGCGGCCCAAAATCCAAAACATAAAACAGAAGCAATATTGTAACAAATTCAATAAAGACTTTTAAAATGATCTACATCAAAAAAAATCTTTAAAAAAATCGGATCAATAATACCTACTTTGCAGGGTATCAGTGTGAGAATGCACTATACATGCTCAGGAAGTAGAGCCACGACTTTTATCATTTATGCAAAAGGGAAATAAGAAGGGCAGGTGACAAGAAACCTATATTTCTGTGGTTAATTTCCAAAACGAAACCATTTCACCAGACTCTCAGTAGCCCTCAGTGGCATGGAAAGACTCAGGTTTTGTACTACAGAGTCATAGGGTTTTACCAATGGAGGGTCCTCAGCTCTCAACTAGTGCAACGCCCTCCTTCACAGAGGAGGAGGGAGATCATGACTTCCTTAAAGTCACACAGCAAGTTCATGGCAGAGGCAAGGCAAGACCCAGGACCCCTGACTGTGGTCCTACAATATCACTGTCCTAGGGCCATTTCTTGAGGAAGCCGCGACCTGGTAGGGAAAGAAAAAAAAGCAAACGTAGCAGAGGAAGAGAACCAGAGGTGCCTGGCAAATCCACAAACAGAAGAATGAAACCCCAATCGTGGAGATGTGATTGGGTCATCAGAGTCAGGGGAGCACTTAGACATGTGGGCGGATGGGTGAGCCCTGTGAAGTCATCATGATTCACTCCTTAAGGGAGACGAGGAATGCGCTACACTCATAACCTCACTCCCCAAATGCTTCCCTGGTGCCAGGGATCGTGGCATTGGATGTGCGTTATCTAATTTATTCCTGAAAACCACCTGTGGGGCTGGCGATACCTTCACACAAGGAAACCGGAAGTTAAGTCCGATGGGCACACAGCTAGTAAGTGGCAGGCCTGGGACTCCAACAGCTTTTCTGACTATAAAACCTGAGCTCTTGTAATGCTTCACAAGCAAGCAAGGTGCACTCAAATTTCCACCCCGTGTAGATCAACACTGAGTTTTTAAACTTCATCAACATTCATCTCTTTAACTTCTTAATAAAACAGTGCAATGGACATTCAACAGGTCACTCATTTCCATAGAACCTTAGCAGGCATTTTGTTGGCAACCGCTAAAAGCCTTTCAGAGATCAAGACAAATAACTCAGCCAGAGGTGAAGGATTAAACCAGGGTTTCCAGCCTCATGCCCAGACACAACCCTCCTCTTTTCTTTTTTTTAAAAAAAAGATTCCTCTTTCTGTCTTCTTTAATGGGCAAACCAGGACGTTCCAGAGATTTTTTGTTGTCGTTCTAGCTGAGAGAACCCTGTTTGTCGCATAAATGCAGCTGTGACTATTTCCTCTTCACAAGGAAAAATCCTCATTGCATTCTTTTTTCTTTTCTTTCTTTTACTTTAAACTGAAAGTAGGACTCCTTCATTGATGTGCAAAAAAATTTATGCCAGTGGAAACCAGAAACCCTGATGCCTGGCAAAAGGGAGGCCACATGTTGTGAATGACACGATTCTCATTTCATAATTAGATTAATTAAAGTGACTGGTGTAAATCCCTTGCACAGTGTGGGGAGAAGAGACCCCAACGGCTAATCTCACCACCATATGCTGTGGCACTTTGAAAACTGGGTAGGATGACTTCAGCTTGGAATGTTTTTATGGCTAAAAATATAACAAAAAAACCAACTGCAGAATGAGTCATGCAATAGCACTCAAGTTCACATTCTTTAGAAATTTCTGAACACGATGTTTTCTACCAGTACCCTGACTCCAAAAATGTCCACAGAATAAATTCCTGTCTCTGCTTTAGAAAAAATATTAGTCCTTGTGCTTCTCACCACATGAATGTTGTGTGGAAAATTACACTTTATCGAGGTGGAAGGACAGACCTCTCATCTGGAACCTCTGTGTAGACAAAGCACTGCTGACTGTCCTGCAAGCATGATGGGGACAGTTTAACCTCTGTCTCTCACCCATCACCTGGATGCCTTCGGAGTCAGGAGTTGATGGGGAGGGTAGGATGGAAACGGCCCAGCTATGGCTGGGAGTGAGGGTCCCTGAGAATGCTGCGTGCTCTCCCTCTGTCCACATGCGTTCCTGCTTTCTCTCCTGCCTGGGTGATTTCCTTGAGCCAACCTTTTCCCCAGTCAACACTCCTTGAATATGAAGCAAAGGAAGAAGGTTACTTACAATCTGTTGCCATGCCAACGTAGATGCATTTTTTAAAGCGACATTCCTGGCACTGATTTCTTGTAACTTTGTCTATGACACATTTTCCTTCATATTTACAGGAATAGGATGGATGGAGATTTTTCTGAATGGTTCTTCTAAAGAAACCCTGCATGAAAAAGAAAGACCCAGGACAACCATTTCATATTTTCGAGAAATAAGTGACTCCAGTATTTTGTATCTTCCTGACTGTGATGGATGGTTTTAGACCTTACCTCTGTACGGGCCTTTAGCTCGACCTATTCAAATATAGGGCAGTTGGCCCAAAGTGAATCTAAATAATTCTAAATCTGAGGGAGATGTCAGAGGCTACAGAGTCTCTTCTTATCTTTTTGGCATTTCCTCAAGGCTAATGGGAAAATCTCATGTTCACGTTTATGTTTTCTAAACGATGAGTCATATAAATAAATTATATTATTTCATGCCATAATTGTGTTGCTAAATGAAGCTCTGAAGAGGTTTGCTACACTTTATACTGGAGAAATAAGAGCTGGATACTTGTGATGCTTTATTAATTAATTAATTTAATCATTTATTATTTAAAGGGATGCATTAATTGTCTTTAGAGATTTGGTTTAATTCTGGTTTTCGACTCTTGAGATGCCCATGACCACCTCAGATAGCCCTTGAAACAACAGTCCTTGGGGAGGAGAAAATTCCAAGTTCTTTATCAAATTTTTCCCATAGCTCATGGCACTGGAGTTTTCCTTTCCTAGCACCCTTTTTCTCCAATATCTGTAGACATGCGCCCTAAAGTTCAATGTTTCTTCTTCTCTCAAGGCATGGGAGAGGGCCACCTGAGAATACAGTGCAGTTCCAGGCTTTGGTGACTTACATAACATCCACAAGGCTGTGTCATATGAGAACATTTCTGGACATGATACTCAAGTCTGGTAGGAATTTATAACTGCAGAAAGCATGTATTGTGAGGGGCGCATTGCAAAGTGCTGCAGACAAGTGCCAGGGCCTCTGTCTCTCCCACAGCCTTCTGAGGTCAGTATGCTTAATATCTCCACTGTGGGGATTAAAAAGCTAAGCCTTAGACAGGTTAAATCACTTGCCCCAAATCACATGGCAAGTACATGCTGGAACTCGGCCTGGGGCCCAGGAGTTGGCTTACATGATATAGATCGAGTCCAATTTTACTGTATTATTTAAATGTTTTAGATGAACATATTATAAACAGTCCCCTCTCACCCACCTCTCAAAATAACCACATCGTTTTATGGTTTAGTAGAATAGCAAGGCACAACAAATTTTGAAGGATGTTGTCCACTAAACCTTAAAGGGACCTCCAACTTTGTTGCATAAATTGGATGGAAATGCCAGTTCATCCAGGCTAACCCAAATTGTAATTATCCCATTTAACTTGCCCTGGCTTTATGTACTTATACCACTTGCATATTCCTCACTCAGACACAGGAGCTCTTCCTTGTAATGAAAAGGTCCAAGGTAGGATTTTCTACTGGGCATAGCAGAATAAAATGGAAAGATGACAGCAGTAACCGAAACTCATGGACTTGGTTTCGGGGCACGTTTGCCAACCCCTGATATTACTATTGCTCAATTCCTAACAGAAGAACTGTCATATTGTATTTGGCTTTGCATCCTTAAACACTGAGTCCATTAGTTTGAATGACATCGATGAACTGTCCTAAGATTCCCTAAAGCACACACGGGGCGGCTGCTGACATGTGTTTCCTGGGTGTTCAAGGTGGGCGGTCCTGCCAAAGCTTGGATGTCAGGGCCTGCACAGAACGAAAAACAAGCTGTCCCCGCTCCTCTACCCCCTCCCCCTCCCTCCAATCCACCCTTCAAGGGTTACACTTGCTTGAAAGACAGAAAAAACTCAGAGATTCTAGCAAGGAGACATATGTCACAGACAGGGAGGAGGGGGTACTGTCTAGCACCCTCTTTCTGGAGGATGCAAAGCGACCTAAGTCCGGGGCCTCCAGCGAGCATGCTGACTGCTGCTCTGAAGATGGGAAATCATTACTGTGGAGTTGGGAGACCTTTTCTCCCCCATCTGCTCACGCTGGCTTGTGTTCTGGGTGGCGGGAGCCTACTGGGGAGTAAGACAACAGGAAGGTGGGAACAGGTGATATACCAGATGCAGAGGTAACGTTCATTTCTCCAAAAAGGCTACTGTGAGCTTTTACAAGGAATGAATGAAATAACTTTTCTACTTGGCTTATTTGGAAAAAATGTTGAGGTAGCAGGCTTTGCTATTCATAGTGCCATCTCTTCTGTGGCTTACCTTGCTGACTCTTCTCGGACACTTCATGGACCAAATCCCTTTTAAGATGTTGGCCTTCCCTAAGCTATGCTAAAAGCATATTTTCCCACATGAAGGGACCACTTTATTTGAGTAAATGTTAAAGATGGTAGGTCCCTTAATTTTAAAAAGGGACAAAAATTAATTTTTGGATGTGAACTTGGATAGAAAATACTTAACAGAATCTACTTATAAAAAGCTCTTTTTAGCAGTGAGCTGACAAAAGAGATGTCCCAGGGACTGAATAAGAACATATCTTTCATCGATGATTTGTGGGTGAGCGGAGGTTTTGCTTTATAAATCGACCTCAGACTCGTTTTTCTGCATTTTGTGAAGAACTGGATCCATTCCTTAGTGGTCCAAAATGATGCACTCATCGGTGCTCCAAGGAACTGTCACCCTCCTAGTTCAATATTCGGGCAACTGTTAAAAAAGCTTCGAGTCTCTCTTTAAAAAGTGATTTACTCGGGGCAGTATCAACATTCTTTCTACAAAAGATGCATGAAAACTGGCCCATCACAACAGACGAAACATCTCCAAAAGATTTCCACTGTCTTCAGGGCAGAAACAGGCAAAAAAGATTCTCCCTCTACACACTACGAGTATGGGGTAGAAATACTTGCAAATTACAGGCTTGAGTAAACAAGATGTGAAGCACGACATTTTTCATCTTTGGCCATTTTTCAAAACTGTGTTTCATTTGACCACCTCTTTTGTCTTTTTCCAAGACACTCTGTCCTTGCATTAAATGATCTGTGTAACCGCCCTAGGAAGACTTTCTGATTTTATGATTGGGGCTATCCTGGAAACAGGATTCTGATCCGAGACAAAGGCACCAGGGCTGAGAAATCTAGCTTTCTGCTACATGATTGATTCTTTTAAGTAAACCTCAGTTGAATCAGGCCCCAAACATCCTGTGATCTTGGGAGAAGAGGGTAGTGGATTTCTTGATCATCATGAAGACATACGTGAGTCAGAGACACGTATTAATAGGTTAATAGGCTTGGTTCTCCTTTGTTTAAGTCAATCGCTAACGATCATTAAGTCCTCTGTAAGGCACGTTTGGTCTTTAGAGTCACTTTGGGAGTTGAGTAATAAATGGAATTGTCATTAGAGTCTCCCCCAGAATTCAAAATTTGTCATTAAAAACTGATTTGAGAGAATCTCAGCGCTGCATAATCAGGTAGGTAAAAGCCTTATGAATTGGGGCTAATTTAGAAGAAAGACCCATTTGAATTAGTGAGCTTTTGGAATGAGAGAAAGTATCTAAACTCATGCAGTTTTATTCCTTTCAAAGCAAGCCGATAGAATTGGGCTTTCAAGAGACAGAGTCTGCAAGTGTCCCAGTTAATAAACAGCTGCAACTTATTTGTAATTAATGCCATTAAACTCCTTAAGACACTACTTCCACAGACGTAATAGCAACCTGTAGCTCAGTCTTTGTTACAAGGTGACAAGTTCTATATCAAAGGGGCCTGGATGAATGAGAACATATTACATCACATTCCAAAATAAGTCTTGCCTTGAGGTCTTAAAAATGACCTCTTTTCAATGGATAGATCATCTCAACACATCAGTAGGCTACATGTTTCCTCATTTCGTGCACAAAAAGTAGGGAGTTTGCATGGAAAATCTTCCACCAGGGAAATGAGACAGGTTAGTATGAAACCGACCTAACGTGTTGATTTTGGTGGTTTAAGGTCAAAGGTTAGGAGAAAAGAGGGTAGTAGGAGGGAGGAAAGGAGAGGAGGGAGTGAGGTGGGTGACGGAGGGGGAAAGACGGACTTGTTTTATAAACAATACGATTTTTGCTCTACGGTTCATATCTTCTGATAATTTAGTTTAAAATACGGAAGGTAAATAAAACATTCAACAAAAAATTAAAGCCTTTCTCTGACTTACTACCTCCTTTATAAAACATTAGCTGAACGCACTGGGTTCAGCTTTGTTTACCTTTACAGTGGACTTTATTTTCTAGGCTAGGCTGTCGGACCAAAACGTGTTTGCCAGAAACTCATCTTCACTTTGATAATGAAAATGTAAGTAGGCAAATTCAGGTTCACTTTCAGGAGGTAAACTGACTGTTGATCACTGGTGTCTTCTTGTCAAGTGTCTCCTGAAGATGGGTCTGGAGAGCGTGTAATTAGCTGATGGACGACCAGAATTTACTTACTGCAGGCTGTGCCATAAGCCAGTTTGGATCATTTCAGAATATAATTGAACCTAAGTAGCCTCAAAGATATTCCCTAATGGAACCCTTAAAAGTGAGCAAATTCTCTCAGATTGACACTGGCAACTAGCTTGGGGTTGGAGTGAACTCTGCCTCCTTAAACAGTGGAGATAAAACAGGAGGAGAAATGGTTATTTCATGGGATGATAGCATGTTATAAAATATCTATGCATTTTTAAACTCAAAGGGAGGCTTTTATTAATTTCTTTACATTTTATCAATTTTCTCCCTGTCTAAAACAGCAGACCTCACACTGTCACAAAACTTCATCTAGTTATTTTTGATTTGGAGAAAAAAAAAATTCAGTTCTTGAATACGCCCCCCAAAATGAAGAGGATGAACACAGGCCATGAATGTCGGGATTTGGCTCTAATAGGAACCTAAACTTCAGGTTGCATTCTGGAGGACTCCTGGAAGGGGCTGGATCGGGGCTCACTGGCCCCAGGGCAGTTACCTTGCAGCCTTCACACGTGATGCAGCGGTAGTGGTAGCCGGTGGCTTTGTCACCACACACGACACATAGCTCGTCCTTGTCTAAGTAACTGGGGATGTAGCCTGTGAAGAAGGAAAGAAGAAGCGTGTGAAAAAACAATATCACGTTAAAGACACACCATAGCCCGGAGGAGGAAGGTGGATGAGGAAGCAGGGCTGACTTGTTTTGTACATTTTAATACAATTTTTGCTTTACAGTTTACATCTTGTGATCATTTAGTTTTAAATATACAAGGTAAGGAAAACATTGAACAAGAAAACATTTTAAAAAGGGACCTAATGCACTTGCTCAGTATCTTATATTTCCCCAGGACCTCAGTTCACATTTACAGAGTTAACAGGCCCGGGATTTCGGAATGCCTTAGAAACAGGTGTGCTTACTCTTGCTGTGCAGGTGGGAACAGGCCCGGAGGCTCCTGCAGCCAATGGATGTGGCAGAGAGGCCTGGATTTTTTAAAAAATTTATTTACAAGTGGATTTATCATTTTTGTTATACATAACATTACGGGGAATTATTAAAAGGAAAATATAAGATCTTTCAAGAGCAACCTGTTCTTTGCTCCTGAAAGGATTTGTACCCATTTTCACACCCCAATCACTAACTTAGATTACTGAACTGGGGAAACAGTTTCTTTTCTTCTTCCTAACACTGTAATACAATAGATTCATGATTAGACCTGAGAATCACCCTGTTTAAAATTATTGAATTTTAGAATCAACTGTTTAAAAATACTGAATCTGAGAGACCAATCCCCTCAGAGAATCTTATTTCAATGGCTTTAGGGTGTGGAAACATAGGCATTGAATTTCCTAAAAGCTCTCTGGGTGATTCTAATGTACATCTAGAATTGAGAATCCCTGGGCCTGGGCTTATATGGAGAGATCCAGAGAGGCTGGGATTTGAGACACCTGGGGTGCTCTGGATAACACAGCCTCTTTCGAAAGGCTTATTTCTGAACTTGTTCTTAGGGGACTTGATCTACTTTGGAACCAAGGCAGCATGCAATAAATTCAGAAAACTTTATAGCTGGAAAGGTCCTGGGAGAGCAGGTAGTGTTGAGGTGAACAGGCCTTCAGAGGTTTGGCCGTCCTCAGGCTCACACTAGAAATTAACAGCAGAGACTAAAATCCAGATCTCCTGACTTCCAGCCCTCCAGTATAAGTTATGTTGGTCTTTTTCTAAAAATAGACAGTTAACTTCAGGTAGAATGAATAAGGCCATCTAAAGAAAAAGATTCTGCAAACTTGTGATATTATGATAGCACAACCAGACAACACGGGCAGTTCCTCAAAAGGTTAAACACAAAGTGACATACAACCCAGCAATTCCACTCTGAGGTATATGCCCAAGAGAAGTGAAAACATGTATCCATACAAAAACTCATACATGAAGGTTCAACGCAGCATTATTCATAAAATTCAAAATGTAGAAACAACTGAAATGTCCATCAAATCATGAATGGATAAACAAAATGTGGTATATTTGTACAATGGAGTATTATTCAGCCAGGAAAAGGAAAGAAGTACTGTTCCATGGTACAACAAGGATGAACCTTGAAAACATGCAGTGAAAGAAGCTAGATACTTGCATTTGTGTGAAATATCTAGAATAGGCATATCCCTAGAGACAGAAATTAGATTAGTGGTAGCCAAGGCCTGGAGGGAGGGGAGAATGGGGGATGACCACTGAAGGGTACAAAGTTTCTTTTCAAGGTAATGAAAATGTTCTGGAATTTCATAGTGCTGAAGGTTGTACAACTCTGGGAATATATTGAAAACCACTGAGTGAAAAACCATTGCTTTGAATGAACCTATTTTGTACACTTTAAATGTGTGAATTTTATAGTATGTGAAATATGTCCCCATAAAGCTCTTATTAAAAAAACAAAGAAACGAGGAGATAAAAGAGGACGGTTCCGTTCAATAAACATATATATGGGGGTGCTATGTGCCAGGCAACAACATGCCAAGGATCTAAAGATGACTAAGTCTTAATTCTTGGGGCAGCTCTCAGTGTTTTGGGGGAAACAGACAATAACAGATCATCTGCATATAATGAGGTCAGTGCTGGGACAGGGCATTGTCCAAATCACAAGGGGGAAAGTCTCTGAGATGCCTTCCCACCCACCCCCAGCTCGAGTCCAGGTTGGGTGCTTCCATTTCTCCTTGTGCTGCCCCAGTGGCAGCCCTTTTCTTTTTTTTTTTTCGTGGTACGCGGGCCTCTGACTGTTGTGGCCTCTCCCGTTGTGGAGCACAGGCTCCGGACGCGCAGGCTCAGCAGCCATGTGGGATCCTCCCGGACCGGGGCGCGAACCCGTGTCCCCTGCATCGGCAGGCGGACTCTCAACCACTGTGCCACCAGGGAAGCCCAGCAGCCCTTTTCTTATCTGCATCTTAACAACCTGTGAACTTTTTCCTCCCTTTAGACCATGATCTCTGGTTCACTGTAGGCTTTAGAGTTCCAGCTAAAGGGCAGGGATCGTATCGTTCACGCTGAAACCCCAGTGTTTGGCACCTGCTTCCTCTGATGGATAGCATCACAGTTTCTCAAGATCGCTGCTGTGAGCCAGTGGTGAAGAGCGCAAGGGAAGAGGCTTATATCCGGACGGTGCAGACGGGCAAGCTGAAGTCTGGAGGTGTGCCTGCGAAGGCTGAGGATCTTGGCAAGGGTTTCTGAGAGAGGTAGCAATCCAGACACAGGAGCCCAGACTTCCAGCCTCATGAAAACTGCCTTAGAAAGTCTGAACTTTGGTAAAAACAAACAAACAAAACACCCAAAATTCCACTCAGATTAACACTAAGACATCCAGATTCAAGCTCATCTAAGACTTAGTGATCTGGGGACACACACGCTCACCAATCAACTAGATTCGGTCCCGCTTTCTTTGATGGCTCTCATCACTGGGTTTACTAGAGTGACACGGGGCTAAGGACAGTTTAAGGGAGATGCCATGCTCCCACAGCAGAGAAATGAAAATCACTACGTCCAGGCCAGTTTGGTTGAGGAGCCATCACCAAAAAGGGGAGATTTGAAGTCTGAATTTTATACACCTTGCTCAGCTGTCTCCTTTGGTCTATAAAAACCACTATTCATTACACTCAAAAAGAGTCTTTGCTTGCTGGTTAGGTCTCCTCTTTACGTGATAGTAAACCCCAAATCCCAAGCTGGTATGCCACTGTCTGCTAGGTAACTGATGGCGCTCAAATTTAAGGAGAAATACTAATAAAATCTACAGGAAAACTCACGAGGCATTAATTTATTCCAAATACAGTTTTGGGAGTAAAGAAATCCATAAAAAGAAACAACATAAAAGTTCCAACAGGGCTATGTGTCTAGAGAACCAACTAGTTATCAAGTATGTAGAATTGGGGGGAGAGTCATAGTGAAAATGGTCAGAAATACTCTGGAACTAAATAACATTTTCCAGTGGTCAGTCTTTAGGAATCAAAAACAATGTGTATATTAGTTCCTTATAAAGTCCAGAGTTTTTAAATAAAAAATTACATGAGTAATACAATTCATTGTAGAAGAACTGAAAGACATAAATTAGCAAAAAACAGACTAACCTATCAACTTTCTACCACAGAGATAACCACTGTAGCATTTTAGTTTCTACATCGTAGATTAGTATGTTTGACTGTGTGTGCACATATGCTCGTGTGTGCATTGAAACACATACTCATAAAACACAAAGTAACATTTTTAATTTATTTTTTAATTAAAAACTTCTTTTATTTTTTGGCTGCGCCACGTGGCCTGTGGTATCTTAGTTCCCCCACCAGGGATCGAACCCGTGCCCCCTGATTTGGAAGTGCGGAGTCTTAACCACTAGACCACCAGGGAAGTCCCACAGAGTAACTTAAATAACAAAGTAATCCAATGATTAAAGTATGCACCTCCTGTTAAAGGCAGATGGAATATACATATCCATGTTGTCAGGAAACTACAGTTTTTTAAATTAAATTTTCTTATTGTACAGTTGCTGTACAATATTATATAAATTACAGGTGTACAATATAGTGATTCACAATTTTTTTTTTTTTTTGCGGTACGCGGGCCTCTCACTGTTGTGGAGCACAGGCTCCGGATGCGCAGGCTCAGCGGCCATGGCTCACGGGCCCAGCCACTCCGCGGCATGTGGGATCTTCCTGGACCGGGGCACGAACCCGTGTCCCCTGCATCAGCAGGTGGACTCTCAACCACTGCGCCACCGGGGAAGTCCCACAATTTTTAAAGGCTATACTCCATTTATAGTTATAAAATATTGGCTATATTCCCCATGCTGTACAGTATAGCCCTGTAACTTATTTTATACCTAACAGTTTGTTCCTCTTACTCCCCGACCTCCATCGTGCCCCTCCCCCTTTCCTCTCCCCACTGGTAACCACTAGTTTGTTCTCTATATCTGAGTCTGCTTCTTTTTTGTTATATTCACTACTTTGTTGTATTTTTTTAGATTCCACATGTAAGTGATCTCATACAATTTTTGTCTTTCTCTGTCTGACTTATTTCACTTAGCATAACGCCCTCCAAGTCCATCCATGTTGTTACAAATGGCAAATTTTCATTCTTTTTTACGGCTGAGTAGTAATCCATTGTATATACGTACTACATCTTCTTCACCCATTCATCTGTTGATGGACGCTTAGGTTGCTTCGATGTCCTGGCTATTGCAAATAGAGCTGCAATGAACATTGTGGTGCATGTATCTTTTCGAATTAGTGTTTTTGTTTTATTCCGGTATATACCCAGGAGTGGAATTGATGGGTCATATGGTAGCTCTATTTTTAGTTTTTTAAAGGGATCTCCATACTGTTCTCCATAATGGTTGTACCAATTTACATTCCCACCAGCAGTGTAGAAATGTTCCCTGTTCTCTACATCCTCACCAACATTTGTTATTTGTGTTCCTTTTCATGATGGGCATTCTGACAGGTGTGAGGTGATGTCTTCTTGTGGTTTTGATTTGCATTTCCCCAATGATTAGTGATGTTGAGCATCTTCTCACGTGCCTGTTCACCATCTGCATAGGAAAGCTACATCTTGATCTCTTACACCTAGA